AATTATAATAAATGTAATATTGATTATAAATATGTACTTTATCAACTGTACTTTTATTTATAACAATTATTATTTGTTTATAGCATAAGGAATATTGATAATAAGAAAGGGGTTTATTAACAAAAACCTTTATTTATAATATAATTTTTACTTATATAATATTCTGTTTATTTACAGTATATAATTATGCTCCTGACAATGTTTTTCTTGTAGAGGGAGGGAATTCAAATTCTATTGAAAGCTAAAAATTTATTTGTAATGAAAGTTCAAGTTATTATGAAATGTAATGCTTATTTGTCGAAAAACAGTAGCTGGAGTTTGTAACTTACCTACAAAGTAGGGAACTGTCACAATAATAGAACTTGCGCAGAAAAATGTCTTCTTCCAAACACTTGGAATACTGAACTGAAGAACACCTGAAATTTAGTGAAAAGGTGGCAGTAAAACTCATGAGAGGAGGTGGAGATATTTAGGAAAATAAAGGATACTTCGTTAGTGCTCTACCCGCTCTGAAAAGGCGCTTACCTGTTTACCGGTACTTGGAATTCCCAGATCTAAGGTTGTGGTTTAAGTACAATAGGTTCTGTCCCTTCTAAGTCAGGTACACAAAAACAAGGATATTGAGTTATTGTGTTATTATATGTACTGACCATTTAGCATTTTTATTTCTTTTTATATTGTTAATAATTTTATTTTAGAAGTGAAAATTTTGTGGACCACTTAACAGTTTCCATGGTCCTCCATTTTTCCAAATTTTATCTGCGGCCCCACAGAAATAGTGGCCTAGGTAATGTGAGACCCTCAACGTCTCACAACCCTATGGGCCTTCACGGCCTGTTACAGGGATATCTTTACATACTTTTATAATTTGATATACGATATACCGTTACATTTGTCTTTTATCTTATTTGTGTATTTGCTACGGTAGCGTAGTTGGTTGAGGCACTATGCTACAAGCCGGAAGGCCGCGGGTTCAAATCGCGATGAGGTCATTGGAATTTCTTAAATTGACATAATCCTTCCGGCCGCGCTATGGCCCTGGGGTCGACTCAGCCTCTAACAGAAATGAGTACCAAGAATTAATTAAATAATTTTCCTGGGTAGTAAAGCGCGGCCGGCGCGTAGGGCTGACAACTTTACCTCGATCTTCGAGCCGATTGTCTAGATAAAGTGGGACCCTCAACGTCTCACAACCCTATGGGTTTCCACGGCATGTTACAGGGATAACTTTACTTTTTTATAACATCAACTTGAGGCAAGAGTTTTATACGTAACACGACGCATTGCACCGATAAGGATCCATATCGGTATTTCAGTGACTATACGTACAACTGCCTGATCATGGTCTTATGTGACCGAAACATGTAGCAATATAAAGATCAAAAATAAAACTGAATATTTGTTGTGTTGACGGTGACATAATTCCTATATATAGTAAGAAATATCTTCGGGCAATCAAGATACTATGATGGATCCTGGAGAATTAAAACAAATGACGAATTAGATAACCTAATAAAAGGAAGTGCCATAGTTAACTTCATCAAAGTCCACACATCTCAAGGATGGAGGCTGGACGAACAGTTAAAAGAATATATGACTGGCAGCCACACGCTATAAGAAAGAGGCCGACCTAAGATCAGATGGAAAGATGACGTAAGGGAAGATCTAAAGGACTTAGGAATTTATAACTGGATAACTCGCACACAGGACAGAAGTAGTTGGAAGGAAACTGTTGAGCAGACCGAAGCGTCGAGCCTTATGAAGAAGATATATATATATATAAAACACAACAGGATGCAACCAATGAAGATATATTAATTGAATTCAGCTGATGATTGTAAAGGATGAGGACTAATCCAACTGCTGATTTGTATCACAAAGCACGGGTCATATAATAGTAGTTGTTTGCACTGTTTTAGCAGACATATTCTGTATTTTGACCCTGTTATAAGTTGTGATTTTATATATATACACACACACACACACATATATATATGCCACTGTCCTACATCTCATGAAAATTTTTTTTTCCCAAGACAAAGCTACTTTGTTCCGCCTGACATAGTCTGGACGGCGTTTCTCATATATGCCAGGCTCTTGCTCAATTAACTGCACAAGAACAAATTAGCAGCTTCGTCCACTATACGTGCCATGTTAACAAATAAATGACTGAAGCGCGTTACAGAACAGCCGGTTTCTAGGAATCCACGCTGCAACTCAATCGAACTCAATTTTGTGACGACTGGCATGCTCCATTGCCTGGAAATTGAGTTTCTCAGTCTCTTCGCGAGTTGCGTTGCCCTTTCCTCAATTTGCGCTGCGCCACTTACTAACATGTGTTCAGCTCTGGCTGATAACACTTCTCGGAAATCACGGTTGCATTACGGTTGCAAGTTTCCTTGGTGTGCGCCCGGCATTATAATCCATGACCATAAACGTTTCTGATTTATTGCTGAATGAAATTAGGCCGTTTGGATGGCAACACTGTTAGTGATTAAATTCGTTTCTTAACCGGGTTCCGATTCGTGTGCTTTATTTTATCTTGTGTCTGCATATTTATTTGTTCCGTTGCATCTTTTTTCTGTGTACGAACGAGGTAAGTCCACGTTGAAAATCTGTCTAGAATATACACCATATAACTAAGTTAGTTTAATAGTAAAACTTTCATGTGACACGCAGTTCAGTTCGAACTCCGAAGGTAGAATAGGGTCTACTTCCAGACGTTGGGATACCAGGTGAAGAATGAAGTCTATAATTTTCATTTCATGCATCCTGTTGTGTTAGTACATACAACTCTTTATTAAGTTCGTCACAACACAACAATATAGTGTTCAAGGCTAAATTAGCTTTGCTACATGTTTCGGCTATTCATAGCCATCATCAGGCAAATACACGGTCATGTTTATACACTAGTAAATTGCAATTGCGTAGTAAGTCTGGATACTTCACA